TGAGTCTCAAGAACGCCTACATGAGCATGAGTCTCAAGAACGCCCACACGAGCGTGAGTTTCAAGAACGCCCACATGAGCGTGAGTCTAGGGTAGTCGGAGAACGCCCAGATGAGCGTGAGTCTTAAGAACGTCCACATGAGCGTGAGTCTCGGGTAGTCGGAGAACGCCCACATGAGCATGAGTCTCAAGAACGCCCAGATGAGCGTGCCTCTCGTGTAACATCAGCCGCCCACATGGGACAGAAAATGTATATATGGACTGAGAGTCACTCATATGGGCGGCAGCCAGAGAGCTAAAGCACCGGGGAAGTGCGGGTGTAGTACACACACAGCCAGAGAGCTAAAGCACTGGGGAAGTGTGGATATAGTACACACACACAGCCAGAGAGCTAAAGCACTGTGGAAGTGCGGGTGTAGTACATACACACAGCCAGAGAGCTAAAGCACTGGGGAAGTGCGGGTTTAGTACACACACACAGCCAGAGAGCTAAGGCACTGGGGAAGTGCGGGTGTAGTACACACACACACACAACCAGAGAGCTAAAGCACTGGGGAAAACGGGTGTAGTACACACACAGCCAGAGAGCTAAAGCACTGGGGAAGTGCGGGTGTAGTACACACACACAGCCAGAGAGCTAAAGCACTACGGAGGTGCTGGTGTAGTACACACACACAGCCAGAGAGCTAAAGCACTGGGGAAGTGCGGGTGTAGTACACACACAGCCAGAGAGCTAAAGAACTGGGGAAGTGCGTTTGCAGTACACACACAGCCAGAGAGCTAAAGCACTGGGGAAGTGCGGGTGTAGTACACACACAGCCAGAGAGCTAAAGCGTTGGGGAAGTGCGGGTGTAGTACACACACACAGCCAGAGAGCTAAATCACTGGGGAAGTGCGGGTGTAGTACACACACAGCCAGAGAGCTAAAGCACTGGGGAAGTGCAGGTGTAGTACACACACAGCCAGAGAGCTAAAGCACTGGGGAAGTGCGGGTATAGTACACACACAGCAAGAGACTGCTGTACGTCAGTCAGCGAGTCACTCAGGGTCCGAGGCAGAGAGAGAGAGAGAGAGAGAGAGAGAGAGAGAGAGAGAGAGAGAGAGAGAGAGAGAGAGAGAGAGAGAGAGACCAAGTCAGTATCTCTCGAGTGAGACAGACAGAGTACCGTGCACTCGTCAGACACCAAGGTCTGAGTGAGAGTCTCGGTCACGATACTGGTCGAAGGTAGAGTCCAGCTGGCGATGTAAGACCAAGGGGACTGGACGCTCCAATAGTGACTGTTCTTACTGACGGCGCAAGGAGACGCTGGATCAACACGGAAACAGAACAGTGGGGATGCCGACAAGAGCTGTGTGCTAGAGGGGATTGTGTTAGAAGTCCTGTCGGTCATCGGAGTCTTTCGATAGGCTAATGTGCTGTGGGCACATGCTGGAGAACGAACAAGTGAAGTCCGTCTCCAGTCAGCCGTTGTTGTCTGCTGAAGTAATATCAAGGTCCAGTTGATAGGAGAGTTCGTCCTGTTCTGCTGTACGGTGAGCACAGAGTCGTGGGACGCTGTAGACCTTTGGAGCTGTTGTGGTCAGGGAGAGGTCGCTACAAGTTGAGAGAGAGAAAGAGAGAGAGTGAGGACTATGTGCGAATGCCAATTAGGATCAGTGGCTACGTCTATGAGTAGTGTGTCGTTTTGATAAACTTGATGTATGGCGGAGCTAACAGCGTCGTTTCGTAATTCAATGTGTCAAGTGAATATCCGTACCTGTGGGCGCTTGGTCGTGTGCTAATTATTGTGTAACCCAGATAGCACACAACACAGATACACTCTGACTTTGAAGGAAGCTCCCAATTAATGGACTCTTACGACATGCTTGTCGGGAAGGCAGTAGGTCTATTCTTGTTTGCATCACAATGGAAAACTTGGAACCAAATCGTCCACTGGACACACTTCTCCCTAACACCAAGTTCGTCAAAATGCTACAACAATAAAGATATCTGTTGAATTGTTTTTTTTTTTAAACTGAATGTCCCTTTTCCACGTCTTTATGCGTATTGGGCATAAAGGGCAAGACCTATATTTTATAGACCAATCGGCACTCGGTGTGTGATGTGGTCAACATCACGCCGGTCGCATTTACTTCCCAGGACTTTACCCGGTTACACCCATTCAAGGCTGCTCCGGCTCCGTCAGTACCTAAACCTCACGACCTTTGGATCCACTGTTGCTGAAACATAACATGATGTGTCTTGAAACAAACCTCAGTCTGTAAACCTCTTACCTGAAAGCTTCCCCTGGCACTGGGTTCCTCAGAGCGTACAGTCTGAGGATGGAGAAGTACAGGGCGTGAAGCAGAAACAGAAGGTCCGACACGGCCAGGGAAGCTAGGACCATGTTAGTGGAGTTCCGCATCCGGTGATGAACCAGCACTCGAAGACTAAGCACGTTGCCCACGGAGCCAAACAGGCAGAAGCACGGGATCAGCACCATTATGAATACGAAGCAGACCTGCAATGGAATTGTTGATATCGTAAATGTGTGTTTATTGTAACAGTTGAACGTCCTAGTCGAGGTTTCAACTCACTGCAATCAGGTTGCCTCGTACTCGCTCCGTTTCTGTGTCAGCCAAAATGAAATGAAATGTCCCTCACTGTCCCATCTGAAAAACTGTCGAACAAACAATTGTCTGGAGCAATTCATAAATATGCGCACTCAGTAAATGACAGTTGCTAGAGGCGCCAAAGCCAACACTCGACACCAAAAACGCAGTTTGTCGTTGATGGAAGTAGTCGGGCACTATAGGTTGGCTAAACACATAGAATTATTAGTTGAACAACTATCTGTAAGAACAACACCATGTATACAATTCACTGAGAAACAAAGGATCAAACCACAGGTTTCCGATTGACTAAAATACCATTGCATAGCAGATAATGGCATTTGGGTTCACGTTAATCTCCCCAGACAAAGTAGGTCACTTTTCATTCACAAGTTTGTTGGACTGGTCGACTTTCCTGAATGTTACGGGTGTGTCTCGCTCTGTTGTTTGCTTTTTGTGGTGTCTTGTATTTACATTTTCATTCCGAGAAAGAGAATGCCTGTGACATAAGTTGCAGCACTATCTAGGGGGTTGTGTTAGGAGAAGTTGGTCCATGTTTTCGTAGCGTTAAAAGCGCTGGCATGCTGAAATATATAACACGCGATATCAACGGTACCGCGAAACGTGAGACTGACGTTTTTTTTAACCTGCCCTTAATCGATTTTTTGTTTCCGTTCAGTATACTACCTAAAGGTTTACCATACCAATATCAGATTGAAGTATGTAAATAGGATGACAGACCAACTAGGCAGATCCAAGATACCCCGTTCAACTTTAAACAGATGATAATTAGGTCACCATAAATTACTACACATGACCTTCTTTAGTCTGAAGTAGGTCATAGGCGACTCAAGGTCGGTGTAACCTGCAGTCATATACGGGTAAGGAGTAGCTAGTGCCTTTTATTCGGTCAGCTCATTAGAATGCAAACACATCTACTAGCAACACGGGCGCAACACATGAAAAGATCTGATGTCAAAGCAAGAGGTCGCCCAAGGAGAAATGGACCAATGATATTAAAGACCTTCTAGATTGACACCTATTGCTGCCTATCGGGCAAAGGATTGCAAACTTTTCCTTCGCATGACTGTCAACGTCAAAAGTTAAAATTGATGATTATGACGAAGATGAGATCTATTGAGAGCTTTAGTGATCGATCGAACGATTGGTTTGTCCCTTGCAGGCTGCTCTGTGAAGATTTACGATGCCATCTTGAGATTTAAAAATCTCAATCTGGACTGCAGACTCAAAAGGCCAAACTCGGATACCTCGTTCAATCCCCAAGAATTTATAATTAGTCCATCCCTAACTGCTACAACAGCCAGGTGTCACTTGCATCCCTATGCAGGTAAGGACGAAGTTTTAGCATAGGCTACATTAGATGTATATTGTCTATACAGATGGTTTTGTGTTGAGGGGCAGACGAAGTGCATAGGGGTTCATAGCGAAGGCGAATGGACGTCGTTAGGTGCAGCAAAGCCTGGCATGTGATATCACAACGGAGATGGAGATGGAGGCAGTCACTGCTGCTTTCACTGGCTTGAGAACCAACTGTACACAAATGCCGTCATTGAAACTGACTCACAAAGAATGTTGAAAAAGATGGAGATAGGCATGCTTTGTGCAGAGTGGCAAGCATCACTTCACAGGTCCCGGGTAGTTAGTGCCCTTTGATATTTTCTCCAGGTCGTGCCGGTGTGTTGGGAAATAAGCAGGACGATAGACTAGCTGAATCTGCACCATTTGGTGGTGAACTGATGCATGACAAGCTTAATGTTGTGAAGGCCCTTCGGGTGCGAGTGAACAGTGTCGAGGCACAGATAGATCATACCGGTCTGAGGAGAATGGCGCTGCGAAGAGTTACAAGGGAATCTGGCTGACGCTCGACACTCAGGAGAAAGGCGAGAATGATATACAGTCAGACAGTTACTGGTACCATCGGAATTTTAACTCTTCGCTTTCTGCTGAAGATGGGGGGCGGAGCGTTTATGGGGGTGTCCCGAGTGCTGTGATGTAATTCCTAATTTAACATTCAACATAGATGTATCAAATTTTATATGTAAGCGCCGTTGGGACTACATCGGCCATGCACTCAGAATGGATAAGACCAGACTTCCTCAACAAGCCCTCACATGGACATCGGAAGGGAAAAGAAAACGGGAAAGATCAACCTGCGTAGAACCATCATCAGGGAAAGGCTTAACCATGGGTCAAGAACACACAAGACCTACAACAGGTGGGAGCGAACCGCCAGACATGGAGAACTATGACCTCTGCCTCATGCGCCGCCCTAGGCTTAATAGCAAAGACTGAAAAAACTAACGTAGATGCTTGTATTCACGGCCTCCGATATTCCATCTATCCATCGCTTGCGTGGTAAACCTCCGCATACTCTCCTTCCCCTATGTCTAAGTGACAGAGTTCTTTGTGGTGCACTAGTCAGTCAGTCTACAGATCATCTTTGCTGCAGATGCACCCATTCAGTCCAGTCGATAATTATCCAGTTTCGTTTCTTTAGGGACGAATTTTTTTTTTGTTATTTGGAGCCCTACCCTGGCTTTTGCCAGGGGCCGCAATATAGGCAGGCCATAAATATGGCCAATTGTCTTAACGCCGTTTCCAGAACCTCCTCACAGTGATCCTCATCCACATGGTGGCACTTTGTGTCATCGGGTGTTTATTGCTTGTGTGATATCCTGGTGGGGAAGAAAGTCAGTCAGTCATTCAGTCCAGTAGAAACTGATGATGATGATGATGATAAACAATTGTACCTTCTTTGGTCACATCGTGAAAAATTGGCATTTGAGCAAGTCAGTGGTTCCCAAACTGAGCCCCGGGAAACCGAGAGCTCTTCACAAGGACGCCACGAAATATTCGAAGATACACGAGATGGTTTTTTTGTGTGTGTGTGTGTGTATCTCTTACATACGAATAGTCATACTTTTACTTAGGCTAGGACGCCGTAAACATTTTTCTTTAAAAAAAGGCTCCACGACTAAAAAATGTTTGGGAAACACTGGAGTAAGTAAAGTGCAGTAGTGGGATGATTCGGGGGAAGAAAGGGGGGGGGGGGGGGTTTCAGGGTTTAAAAAAATGGCGTTGGCATCGTCTCCGTAATAACTGGTTGACATTACACGAGATAGAGGGCTGTGTAAAATTTGATTGACATTACACGAGACAGAGGGCTGTGTAATATATTGGTATTACACGAGAAAGAGGGCTGTGTAAAATTTGATTGACATTACACGAGACAGAGGGCTGTGTAATAACTGGTTGACATTACACGAGACAGAGGGCTGTGTAATAACTGGTTGACATTACACGAGACAGAGGGCTGTGTAAAATTTGATTGACATTACACGAGACAGAGGGCTGTGTAATAACTGGTTGACATTACACGAGATAGAGGGCTGTGTAAAATTTGACTGACATTACACGAGACAGAGGGCTGTGTAATAACTGGTTGACATTACACGAGACAGAGGGCTGTGTAATAACTGGTTGACATTACACGAGATAGAGGGCTGTGTAAAATTTGACTGACATTACACGAGACAGAGGGCTGTGTAATAACTGGTTGACATTACACGAGATAGAGGGCTGTGTAAAATTTGACTGACATTACACGAGACAGAGGGCTGTGTAATAACTGGTTGACATTACACGAGACAGAGGGCTGTGTAATAACTGGTTGACATTACACGAGATAGAGGGCTGTGTAAAATTTGACTGACATTACACGAGACAGAGGGCTGTGTAATAACTGGTTGACATTACACGAGATAGAGGGCTGTGTAAAATTTGACTGACATTACACGAGACAGAGGGCTGTGTAATAACTGGTTGACATTACACGAGATAGAGGGCTGTGTAAAATTTGACTGACATTACACGAGACAGAGGGCTGTGTAATAACTGGTTGACATTACACGAGATAGAGGGCTGTGTAGTAACTGGTTGACATTACACGAGATAGAGGGCTGTGTAAAATTTGACTGACATTACACGAGATAGAGGGCTGTGTAATAACTGGTTGACATTACACGAGATAGAGGGCTGTGTAAAATTTGACTGACATTACACGAGACAGAGGACTGTGTAATAACTGGTTGACATTACACGAGACAGAGGGCTGTGTAATAACTGGTTGACATTACACGAGACAGAGGGCTGTGTAATAACTGGTTGACATTACACGAGACAGAGGGCTGTGTAAAATTTGACTGACATTACACGAGACAGAGGGCTGTGTAAAATTTGACTGACATTACACGAGACAGAGGGCTGTGTAAAGACACAATCACCTACGCCGTACTGCTTGGACTTTATTATTATTAATAATATTAATAATAATAATAAGATTAATAAGATTTTTTTACACGAATAAGAGCGAGAAGAACACGAAGAATTAGCATAAATGTCAGTCAAGAGAGGGGAAATATAGATATTCTTCAAATGAACATTTGATGGTTTGAACAACGAATCAACAACAGGGCACAAGAGTAGTAACTCTTCAGTGCCCTGTTCTACTTTCAACTCAAGCCTGAGTCCGAACAATTCTCAGCGCAGTGCACGAACTCTGTAGCACCGGCGAGAATCCTGCAATACTTTGCGTAGATTTTTAACTGCAAATATTTTTCAGTATCTGAACAAAGTGGGGGGGAGGGGGGGTGGGGGTGGGGGGGGGGGGTCCGTCTCATAGACATTATTGATTCTCGGAAGAAAGAAAACAAGAAAATAAACCAAAAAAAAAAAAAAAAAAAAAAAAAACCTTGGTATCACTAATTCTTTCAACACAGTATTTATTATTATTATTATTATTATTATTATTATTATTATTATTATTATTATTATTATTGTGAGCCAACTCAGTATAGTGGCTCCAGGTCCTAACGGAGCCAGACTTTTT